GATATCACCAGCACTTGAGTATTGAGACCCAGTGGCTTTATTTGACCTTTAGCAGGTCTTCTATCCGCCAGTTTTCTTAAAATCTAAAGAGAACTCCTATTGATTGGTCCTTTTCAGATAATCTCCCACTGGCAGTCGCCAGGCTCTCTGAAGGTGTTTCACTTTCATCAGGCAGTAGATTTTTAGTGAAGAATTAAATAAAAAAAGTGAACTGTTGCAATTTTGGTGGAACAAAAATTCTTTCTTATTTCCATACCAGTAACACATTGACATTTAAACTGAGCCTTATTGGTGTGGAAATAATCTGATTGCATTTCCCTCTTTCGGTCATATCAGTAGGCTACATCAAATCAGCATACATAACACCAATGCACCAGTTGGCATTACAGCATGTCTTCACCATCTGTCAGTTGCGTATATCTGGCGGGTCGCTTTACCGGCATGCAGATACGCTGTTGACATTTAAACCTTGGCCCTCACGCAAACGGGAATGCTAACCAGATCGAAGTTGGGCCCGACACGGTCCTCGGAGCCCCGCCGTCACGGAGGGGTAAAGGACGATTGTACCGCACAGGACCTTTCCGGGGCAATACAATGATTATTCTCAGCAAAAGCAGACGTTCTGGACAAATACCCCCCGTGGGTCGATGCAGCAGCGGAGAACGGGCCGCACAAATCTGCTAAAGGGCACAGGAAGATATATCACCTTTTAAAAGATCATTTAAGCTAGTTAATGGATGACGGGAATTAATGTCTCTCATCTAGTAAAGTCAATTAAATGGACGTTCTCAAAACATGATGCTCTACATCAAATTATCATAGCCAGCACTCGCCTGCAGGAATCGGTTGTTGTCGCTTGTTATTGCATTAACAGATGCTGGCTGGAGGTAGGAATCCACTTCACTGCAGTTGTAAGTCATTTTCCCTGTTCAATAATTCAACCCGCTCCACTGGCAAAGTGTCGCTCGCTGTTGCCACCTTAATAGACGAGCCTTTGTTAACTTGTATTAATGTCAGATGATTTTAAGGGGAGATAGATGTATGCACGCGGTGTGCTGTCGAGCAAAAAATTGGATTCATTTAGATGATGGGAGATTGTAGTTGTTGCAGCCTCAGTGTTTCAGGTCGTTGGTCATAATGAGGAGAAATACTAAGTCTTGTGTTTGAGAACTTTAGAATTATGGAGGAAAATGGATAGAGAGAGATTGAGAGGTACATTGAGGACGAGAAATAAATATAGGCCCCATTTAGACTTGATATTAAGATCCATCTCAGGTGGTCTTGTCAGAAATGGTCATCCGAGACAAATTGCTTTTTGTATCTGGAAGTAACATGTCTTAAAGCATCACTTGTGTTGACTTGTGGCCGTGTTTCTACCAAGGACAGCTCTGAAGGTCTTAAAATATGAGAAGCATGCCAAATCTGGATGTCGATTTCTTGATTTGTTTTTATTCAAATTGATTCTGATTCACAAGCTGTTGATTTAATTTGATTTCAGATTGAGATTTGATTCAGTTTGAGATTCAGTTTCAATTAAGTTTCGGTTTACTTCGGCTATTTCAATTAAAATGTCCATTTACGTCTCTCTACTAATGCTCTTTTGAAACTTTTTTGAAAAAAAAAAGGATCATGAATATTCAAATTAAGTTGTTGTTTTTTTTTTCCCCCCAGCCCTAAAGCAAAAGTATTTCAGCATTTTAGTGTCATTCTTCGTCACTTTTTTTTTAGTTGTGGTTTTCTTTATTTTTTGGCCACTGTCTTCTGGTTCTTTAAACATTTGCTTTGACTCCTTGTATTTTTTTCACCACATGACCGTGGTGACAGCAGAGCACATGTGGCCGTGGCTCCAAGCCCAGACCGCAGCTGTCTCTTCAAGACATGCTTCAGTTATGTTGTGGTTTCAGCATCTCCAATGCAAGCTTACAGGAAAGAGAATGTATCTCTTTTTTAAAACTGTTCTGTCCTTCTTTGGTTTGCATTACGCATGACTGAAGGGAGGAAAACTGTATGAACAAATGTAAACACTGAAAGGTCATAGTGATCTATGATGATTAATAGGAAACACTCTTCAAACGGAAGAACAAGCAAATGCGCACACATAGTTATGCATGTTCTGAAAGCATACTTTAGTCTGTATCATCTGTGTTGATGGGATTCATACACATGCTTTGGCCAGAGTCCAGGCATGTGGGTGGACACACTGGTGCCCTATGCCTGACATTTTGACCTCAATTTCTCTTTTGTTTCTAAAAGGCATACAATGAGGGGTCAATGCTTTGATGTGCAAGAAGTCTTGGGCTGAATACAAGGTGCAGAAGAAGAACAGAAAGCAAATGGCTCATTAGGAGGCTTTTTTGCTATTTTATTTTGGAAAATTTTGCGCTGAGCTGTGGGAAAAGGTTTTGCAGCGAACGCGAGGCCAGGCAGAATGGGAGCAAACACATCACACACTTGGGAATAGATATGCTAGGAGTTGATGACTACATCTTCCTGCAAGGTGAAACAAAATGAGATCAGAATAAGATGGTGCTTTTAAAGTCAGCTCCCTTATGGCTCTTTTGGTAAATTAAACTCTAAAAATAATTGAATGACATATGGCTTCTGCATTTGCCAGTAATTGCCTTTCTTGTCAAAAGCAACTCTCATTACCTTATTTTAGTTGCTCTTATAAACGTTTTATGATCCAAAAAACAGAGCAGCTGCATTATTTTTCACACTATTAATTGTTTTAAAGAGCTAGGGGTCTGTCATTGTTTGTGATAACAATGCCTGACCTGATCTCTACTGTTCCTTTGCTTAGAAAAAGGAGGTCAAAAGTCCAAAAAAGATGAAAAATGTTTATCAGTTGCTTAACAATGCGGTCAAAAGTTGAAAAGATGAAAAATGTTCACCGGTTGATAAAAAAGGGGGTCAAAGGTCTACAAAAATGAAAAATGTGTACCATTTGCTTAAAAAAGGACCAGGTGTCTAAAAAGATGAAAAATGTCTACTAATTGCTTAAAAGGGGGTCAAACATCCAGATTGTCCACTAATTTTTCATCTTTTTAGGCTTGTGACCCTTGTTTCACCTGTTTTATCTGACCCCTGATCAGTCATGGCTTTATTTGACCACAGCAAATGGGATGACCATTCAACGTCCAATTTCTTATTGAGTATTTAGGCTGATATTGTCAAACTCTTCCTCATTATGTCCATAGTTTAAGGTATATTGAAGAAGTTTTGTCTTTTTGTCTAAAGTGAAGTGCCCTATTCAAGGTAGAATTTCAAGTGTGCACCAGCTTCATGGACATCAGATCTGATCAATGGTTTTCCCAGGGCGAATGAGGTCATCTGTAAGCCCCAACAATGTGCTGACAAAGACCCCAGAGGTGAGGTCATTGTGTTAAAAGGGTCACCACAGGTCACCCCCAGTAGCAGCCGCTCAACTCGCCCTCCCCCAATACTTAAGTTTAGTGTTCGGAACAGGTCATTCTAACCGGAGAATACAAATTGCTGTGTGCACTCGTGTCCAACTGATTTGCTTTCACCATACATCACACGATATTAATATTTCAAGCCGTTTTGCCCGTAGTTCAAGCTGTAAAAAAATTCTGATGGTGTTAGGAAACTGGAGATTGATTTACTGCATGCAGAACATCCATAAAGGGAATGTGCACGCTCAAACACTCTCGCACACCTGTGCGCTTTGATAATTAAAACTGCTGTGATCTCATTTTTGCTTGATGCTGCTTTATACCTACAGTTCTGGTCGACATCTCATCTCCAGAATGAATGATATGTAAGTTGCAACAGCTGGTGTGAGCATTGAATTAATGTTCAGAAGAGTATTACAAAGGGAATGTAAGTTAAAGATGGAGAAACATTTTTTGAGGGAGAGAGAAGAAATAATGAATAATTCTGTGATTTTTGATTAAACATTGGATTAGACATACTGTAATACGGTATTATGGAAAGTAATTACATTTTAAATGTCTTTTTTAAAATACCAAACAGTTTACTTTCATATGTCTGCATTTCACATTCTTTTCAGAGGTAAAATCAATATTACAAATGCACCTTTTATCAGAAAAATTTTAAATATAAAGGCTGAAATTAAGAAAAAGTCTTCAGATTTGAAAGGAAGTGAGTGAAACTTAGCAAGGCCATCACTCAGCATTTAAAACTCGCTAATACCGTCAGTCAGGAAACCACATAAATAAATGACAAGGCAAGTTAGGAACATCAACAGCATTCACATATGTGAACCCTTGCTGAACCGTATGCTCACAGAGGGTGTTTACTTTAATTTCTAGCTGATGTGGTATATTTAGTACATGGGACTGTTGAAGTATACTTAAGGTTTGGATCAGACTTGCTGTTTGTTAGAGGCTCCCCTGAACTGTAATTAAATCTCAGGGCGTGTGCATGTATCTGTATGCATCTATGCGCATTCGCACACTCATGGCCCACATATATGTCGTGTAGATGCATACCCATGTGCTCATGTGAGCCACCTGTGTGATCCCTACTGTGATTTGGGCTGTGCCATCAACCTAATGCTATATAGTCATTATATACGTTGTGTGCATGTATCTGTATGCATCTATGCGCATTCGCACACTCATGGCCCACATATATGTCGTGTAGATGCCACCTGTGTGATCCCTACTGTGATTTGGGCTGTGCCATCAACCTAATGCTATATAGTCATTATATACGTACATCTCCCCCTGTGGCCACGAGACACATCAAAATCCAGCACAGCATCTCTCCAATGGCCTCATTTAGCTTCTATGCCGTACTCGCTGATATTTCCCACTTGGGCCAATCAGATAAGTCATATATGGTTTAACCACACAAAAGAGCACTTGGAACCCCAAGCGGATGCGGCACTAGGAAGAAGCCTCTGTATGCTTTAGATGAACACTTTTGAGAACCAGAATGGTATATGCAAAGCTTAGAGGGATTAAAAATAAATAGAAATCATACTACTGGGGAAAAGGAGACCATCAAGTTGGGGTTTTATCCACTTTTATTTTGCAATATGACCAGTATCCTATCATATTCAAGTGTTTATGAAAAAAGTTAAGTCACTGATTTATTTTTTTGAAAAAGCTAAATACAATAAGCATTGGTTCAAGGCACATACAAGACTGGCCAAAGGGCATTCAATGCACTTTGGTCTTCAGTTGTAAAGAACTATTTAACTGTGGCAACTTAAAAAGTGGCTTGAATTAGAAAACAAAAACATACAAATAAGAATTATATGAACAAAAAAATAGTTGACACTTTTTATATTCCAAATAGAAAAGAGCCCAAATGTGTTTCTTGCCATATTTTTTCTGCCCATAATATTCCTTTTTGGAGGGCAACGTTTACATGACGTGGTTAACTGTACTGAGGGATACGGTAAATGCTGTTTCCCTTTGCTGAACGAGCGATATTGAGTTCAATGTTGTGTTTTTGCCCATCCACTTTGATTTGACTGCAATGTAACCTTTCATTTGATCTGTGTGCTTCATTTGCAAAGGATTTAGGATTCTGTGCTCTGTTGCTGCCTCCTCCAGGGCAGAGAGGAAGTAATAGATATCTGCTTCTTAAACGTTGCAGTGATGTAAAACCTGGCAACGTTCTGGAACGGGCAAACCGGGATTCCTAAAGAAACCCAGAGGTTTCTGTGACACCGGAGTAAGTCTGTGCCTGCCATCCTTAGAATTAACAAAACACTTGCATCTTTATTTCCTTTGATGAAACCTATGCCCTATATTCTCACAGCCTTGTTTTTTGTTGTATTTATTTTTTTCCACTGACAGCAACGTAGCGATAATTTTGACCTGTGCTTTATACTACATGGTTTTCTAAAATCTGATTGTTCAACACAGCAATGAAAACCCACTTTCACAGTTGACAAGTCATCATATCTCAGTAGAGCACAAAGTTTTTTTTAATTGGTCTAAAACCATAAGTAAAGGAAGTACAGTACAAATGACTACAAATATCTAAAATATAGAATTGCAGTTTGTGGCAGCATACACCGACAGCTCAGTGATGGCCTGCAATCGGAACCTTTTTTCCTTTTAATAAATCGTCCTTAAATATAAATTATATGGCAAATGTACATAACGATGCTTTCTCAGTCTTTTCAATCCAGTGTTTTTCAAAAGACCAAGCAGTCTCCGAGTCACTCATTTGCAATAAAACGTCTTTGTAATCCGCGCACACTATCATGAATGAGAGTAGTCTGAATCTGGTATTCCACTGTCTCTGTAGCTTCTGTTGTTGATACTGTTTTCGCTGTGCGGGCTCTTGTAAAGACTTAAGCCATTAGGAGGAAAAATTGTGTGTATCACAAACTCCTCCTTTGAAACGGGCATGTGATTTATGGGAATCATTTGAAAAGAGGTCTCTCTAATCTCCAAGATGGAGTTGTCCTTCTTTGTTCCAGCTTCGGCATAATCGTCCTTCCGCCTGCGCCCTTTGTTGTACGTGCAGTTCCTGGAAAATAAGGAACCGTTCCTGTGGATGTACCAGCACACCAGGGCCAACATGATGATAGCCAGAAGGGCCACCGCCCCTCCGATGATAGCAGCTAAAGGCAGATTGGAATTTTTGTAAGGCTCTTTCTCCTGCTCTCTGTTCAAGGTTGTGGTGGGATTGTACGCTTTCAGGGAACCAGTTTCTGTCTCTATGCAAACAGGTGTCTCGTCTGACAGGTAAATGTTACTCGTCTCCATGGGAACCATGCATATCCGATAAGAGGATTCGGGCTCCAGAGCTGTGAGCAGGTACTCTGTTCTCTCCCCTTGGACGATGGTCTCAGTTATAGATCCGAAAGCAGGACTGTGACCCAGCTTTAGCCAACTGAGCCTCAGGGCCGTCATGGGCTGGGATACTCTCCAGGATATGTGCACCGTCTCTGCGCTACTGGATTTGACGCTTATCGTGATGATCTTGCGACTGGACGGCGTCGTGCTACGATAGTTTCTTCCCAGCTCTGGACCCTTAACCACAGGTCTTTTAGTCACATATGAGGGCCACTGGGGTCGTGAGGGTGGCAAAGTGTTTGAGACTGTGCTGGTCTCATATGTGGTTGGGATCTCCGTGTCTGAGCAGCCAAACAGCTCTGTGGATAGGTCTTTGATGGCCATCCCTTTGACCTTATCGGGACCTTGGCACATGAAGCCACGCACGTTGACCTTAGATGGAATACTGCGCAGCCAGTCACGCACCCACTTCATCCTGCAATTGCAGTTCCAGGGGTTGTTGCGCAGGAGCAGCTGGGTAAGGTTATCCAGGTCGTCAAATACCCCCATGGGCAGACTGCTCAAGTTGTTGCCTGACAGATCCAAACGGTACAGCTGTCGCAGAAAAGCAAAGGCACCTGCTGGCACGTGATTGATGTGGTTGTCTTGAAGATTTAGCTTCTCCAGGCTTGAGCCCGGCAGGTTGGCGGGTGGGGAAGTCAGGGAGTTCCGTACCAACGAGAGCTCGGTCAGGTTGACTAAATTCACCAAGGCCATCTCCCCAATGCCCCTGTTGTTCAGGAGGTTGCCATCCAGAACCAGTCGCTTCAGGTTTATAAGATCCTGCAGGGATGCCTCAGAGATGGACGAGATGCGGTTGTCGTCGAAGCGAAGTTCCTCGATAGTCATTGGCAGGCCTGAAGGTATGGTGCTTAGGTGGTTGCGGGACAGGAAGAGCAGCCTCAAATGGTTGCTGTCCCGGAACGCACCCTCTTCGATGCTGACAGCTGACACGGAATTGTCATCGAGGTGTAATTCCTCAATGATAGGAATCTGTGCCAGGGACGCGTGGGTGATAGTCCGGATATTGTTCTCCTGCAAATGAAGTTCCTTGACATTCAGCGGCAAGTTGGTGGGGAACTCATCCAGATTGTTGCAGTATAGGTAGATCTTTTCGACACTGTTCAGCCGTCGTAGATCCGTAGGGATCCCTGCGCTTTTGATGCGGTTGTTCTGGAGAAAAAGTACTGTAGCATCCTCTGGGATGCCCGAAGGGATGGAAGTCAAATCCCGGTCATTGCAGTATATGAAAGTCCCATCGCACCGGCACTGCGAGGGACAGGAGGCTGAGGTCACCAACGGATTGGCCAGGCCAAGCAGAAGCCCAGCTCTGACGAAGAAGACGAAGAAGGACTTGTAATTGCTTGCCATCGCTAATGTCCTCCTTGCGGTCGTTGCCCTTAGAGAAAAAAGAAGGGAAAAAGTCAAATTTATGCCATCTGAAGAAAAGGCAGTGTCCTGCTCTAATTGCTGTTTTATGTACGGTGCCTGCAGCGCCTCTTTCATTGTAAATGATTCAATTTAAGACAAAGAATACAATATTTCTGCTGCTGAATTAATGAAAAGAGGCTATTAACATTTCCAATGACATGAACAAATGAAAAAACTATGGTAGCGAAACATGCCTGGGGTGTTTATCTTGATTGAAATCATTTTTATATCAAAACAATACAAAGTAGTGAAAAAAGGAAAAAGGGATTAGAGGAGAGAAAAAAAAATAAGAGAAAAAGGGAGGACTGAGAGGTTCAGAAGCAAGTCTAATTGAAGTGGAAGGATATTCCCAATCAGCCGTGGATGTAGATAACAAATCCTTAAACCCACTAGCTTTCCTTGAATGAGATGCCTGTGTGTGAGAGGGTTTATCTTTTTCTGTGTGTAATGTAATCGCAGGCTCTTGTTGTTTTACACATTTCTGCTGTTAGCCAGTGCATTTCAAGGCTACTTTTCATTGCTGAAACTGGTGGCAGAACACAGTCAGGCCTTGTTGATTGAATATTGTAAAACTGACTTGTCTTTTTGCCCCGTTTTTGTGCACGATTTTAGGGTATTATAATTTACAAAAGTTTGGAGGATTGCAACTTGAAAGCAAATGAAAAGCTTTCTGAATTATGCCTGCCAAAACTGTATCACTTACAAAACCCACCCTTTCCATTTGTTGTGACATGGCAGTTGATAGGTATTATTGTCTCCTAACATAAAAAGTACACCACAATGGATTGGATTTTTATGGATTGTTACAGCCTGTAGATTGCTCCACTGCATTTGAGACTTATCAGATGGAAGGAAGGGAAAAATGTGTGGTTGAGATGGGAATTTGAAAGTCCCTTAAGCTTATTGGGTTTCTGTATATCAGGGGATTTCTTTGCCTCTGGGTAAATGACCACAGAGAAAAGCCCCTGGGCTGCAGTCCTTTGATAGTGGACACTGTTTGTGAAACCTGGATTAGTGGAGATGTTGTGTGGATTTTTATAAAAACCTTTCTTTTTCCTCGCCTTAAGCCTGTGCTGCCTGGATAACCGCATTCGCTGCTCTGTCTACCACTAACCCTAACATCCCCCCTCTAGTGTTCTCTGTGGTGATGGCTGAAACGAATTCCTTTGCATAAGAAAAGTGACCACGGTTTAGGCCCTGCGACAATGGCCGAAGACCGTTCCCTCCCGCCTGGTGACGTTCTCCACCGAGCTGTGCTTTCAAAGACGCTCTGGAAGCAGAAGGTGAAGGTAAAAATAAGAATCATAGTGAAGCATATTGCTGCTGAGGTGTCAGGCAGCCACCAAAGGTCCCTCGGGCTGCCCCGACAGTGCCTAAACATGACGCCCTTGCACTGCTCAAAAATGTACATGTGAGATGAACGCGCTTTATGTCTTGCAGACTCATGAATACCCAAATGGGATCCTCATGGAAGTCACCTCTGGTGGCCCCAAGGAGACGGCCGTGCTGCACCTACCATATTCTAATTTCCCACGGTACATCTTTCCTGTTACATAGACTGACAATATGTATTTCTACAACTGACAGCCATCACCACAGTTTGTGCCCTTGCCTGAAACCCTTCTGCTGACCTGCGGATGGTAACCTTGCTGTAGAACACGCTGGAGTATGTCAGGCAACTTTGAAACCATTGTATAGAGTGACAAGGAGAGGTTAGGGAATTGAAGGCCCTGTAACTTGATTACAGGTCTCGCCAGCGCGGTCTAATAATACACCCCATCCTTCTGTTGAGCCAAAGTGCTCCATGTGCATGCTTTTGTATTAGTAGATTACCAAGAGCTCGGAAACAGCAGCTGTGACCCGACTTTAAGGACAGGTGATGGTTGACGGTGAGATTTCAGTATGCTGACAAGGACTAAGTTGCTTCCTTTTTGTCGAATCCTGAAACATTTTGAAAGATTTGCTTCATGATTGCCAGATAAATTGAAGAGGAAAATAAGTACTTGCAGGAATGGTGAATGGTTGGATAGTAATCGGCATGCAATTTTACAACCGTTCCGAGGAAATGTATTGATTTGGAGAATTATGTGTGTAAAGTAACTTGCCATTTTTCCAGAAGTCTGACAAATAACAGACTGCGAAATTATGTGGAGATGGAATTGCTCTTGCTTTATGTTCTATACTCAATGTAAATCACTTCCTGGCACAGGAGTGGGCAAAAGCAAGTTGGCGAAACGCAAGCCCCTTTGGTTTTTTTCTGCCATGTGGATTTTTATAAAAACCTTTCTTTTTCCTCGCCTTAAGCCTGTGCTGCCTGGATAACCGCATTCGCTGCTCTGTCTACCACTAACCCTAACATCCCCCCTCTAGTGTTCTCTGTGGTGATGGCTGAAACGAATTCCTTTGCATAAGAAAAGTGACCACGGTTTAGGCCCTGCGACAATGGCCGAAGACCGTTCCCTCCCGCCTGGTGACGTTCTCCACCGAGCTGTGCTTTCAAAGACGCTCTGGAAGCAGAAGGTGAAGGTAAAAATAAGAATCATAGTGAAGCATATTGCTGCTGAGTCGCCTTAAGCCTGTGCTGCCTAGATAACCGCATTCGCTGCTCTGTCTACCACTAACCCTAACATCCCCCCTCTAGTGTTCTCTGTGGTGATGGCTGAAACGAATTCCTTTGCATAAGAAAAGCGACCACGGTTTAGGCCCTGCGACAATGGCCGAATACCGTACCCTCCCGCCTGGTGACGTTCTCCACCGAGCTGTGCTTTCAAAGACGGGCCTGTGCTTGTCAGATACACACACACAGACACTTGGAGGCTGAACCGGCGCTTTAATTACCACATATGTACCCCCTGCTTGGGTACAGGGGGCAGCAGTTGCCGGACAAGGGCAAGAAGGGTTGGGTTGATTTACTGCACTGTACTTTTCTGTTTCCACTCCAAAGCGGGGTAAATCTGTAATAAAGCTAAAATTTGCAGCCCTTTTTTCTGTGTGCCCTTCTTTTGTTAATTCAGACTGTATATTTAAAATATAAGAATAGATCATTTTCAGGAAATGAACTTCTAGGCTTGTTTTTTTTCGAATGTACGTTTTGAAGAACGGCCTCACTGAGGTCAGAGGTTGGCTGCCGACATGAGTGGAGAATTCTATGAGAACGATTTGTTTTTGTCCTTTGCACAAAAGGGTGACAGACTTTTTTTCTGAAGGCCTGAAAGACATGACCATTTCATGTTGACTCTGAGTGAATGCCACGGACCACTGGGTTTAGCCTCCGGCATTCGTGGCTTGAAACAAAGAGTGCTGTCCTCCTGGCTGCCAATAAACATACACTGAATGCTTAGATATTTGTATTAAAATATAGAACGTTGATTTAATTTGCATTCCTGTGTATTACTATCTAAAGGGAGACTGGTATGTATGTCTTTTTAAAGCACAGAGGAGTAGTATTTGTAAATTGCTGATACAAATTGTTTATGCAAGCGAAAAAGACTGCCACAGAGTGCTTTGACACATCCAACAAAGAACAATGGGTTAGTTAATTTTATCACCCTCCTTACAGAGTCAAAACAGACCATTTGTGGTTCTCAGCTATTATCATGCTAAGAAACTAACCTATCCGAATACACACTCTTTTAGTACATTTGCACATATGATGCTCAAAGCTAGGGAAAACAACTTGTACTCAGTACATTGGGGATTCAAAAAAAGAGGTCTTGTTCACTTGAATCTCTTGCATAGTTGTCTAATGTGAATCCTCTTTCATAGTAGTCTTATAAACTGATTTAATCAGCTCTGACTGAAGGCTTTATCTCTTATCATTGCATTACAGTCCCTCGCTCTTTATCTGCACAAAACTATTATTTCAATCTTGACATTTTCTGCCTAACAGATATGAAAGCTTATCTTTCAGATAATTTGGAAGGCTACTTAAAAGAAGGGAAATTCGTTTGATGGGAAAATCCTGAAGCAGCGGACAGCCTCAGATCTCTTTACTGCGCCACACACTCACTTCTCTCACGGAAAAGCACAGGGCGCACATTTATTGCGCGCCAATCTCGTAGTCTTTTGAGTTTTCCTTAGTATTCCAAATTAGAATGCGACCCTCATAATCAACGAAGCTGTCTGCGCTGCGAGCGGTTTCGATGGGAGAGTTCTAGTTTTGTCGCGTCGCGCGCAACGTTCATGGAGTGTCACGCGCCGCATCCTCGATCCCCCCATTCTTTATTCCAATCACTCTTCCATCACGCTTCTAGAGCACAGGTGTTGGGCATTATTAATAGATCTTTCCTCATTTGGAATCGACGTCTGCTCGCTTCGTTTGCGTTAAAGCCTCTCAAACTAGAGCAGATTTCAGACGCAGCGCGTTAAGTTTACGCGTTCCTGTTGATTACACGCGGTGAAAATACAAGCTGCATTGCGTTTTTTTCTAAACCAGGGAAACATTTCTGCCTACATATTTGGAAACGAGAAGAAGGGTTTGGGCACGGCTTTAACATTAATTTAAGAGCAGGCTATTGTGCTAGCGGCTCCCCTCTGGGTTCGGTTTTGGGGCAGATGATCCGCAGGTTTGTCCCTGGTTGGCGTTCAGGCAGTGAGAGTGGATTCTAGGGGAGACAGGGGGGCTTTTTCTTTTGTGCTGCACTGAAAAGAAAGTGGTCTGTGGCAGCTGCACTGTTTTCCCCACTTGGGGGTGGTAGGTGCTTCTGTATCGGGCCTGTGCTTGTCAGATACACACACACAGACACTTGGAGGCTGAACCGGCGCTTTAATTACCACATATGTACCCCCTGCTAGGGTACAGGGGGCAGCAGTTGCCGGACAAGGGCAAGAAGGGTTGGGTTGATTTACTGCACTGTACTTTTCTGTTTCCACTCCAAAGCGGGGTAAATCTGTAATAAAGCTAAAATTTGCAGCCCTTTTTTCTATGTGCCCTTCTTTTGTTAATTCAGACTGTATATTTAAAA